ACAGGTTTTTTCCGGTGGGTGTGAGTGCGCATTTTGCTGTATATGTGAATTCGTGGAACACTGGAGTTGCCTATAATTAAACAAAGAAAAAAAGCAGCTCATGAAGCCAAAAACAGTTCTGGTGCCAATCATATTATGGAAGCACCTGAGGCTATACCCACTGACTTTATCAGAGCTATCATTTGGTTGCATTTCAGACTTAGAAACGATCAAATGGAGCATAAACTTCTAAAATAGAAGTTTTATATTGAAGGCATTTTTTAGGTAGCTAAGGCAACTCTGAGAACTGATCTACATCATGAATGCTAAGAGAAAAAAGAGGCCAACTCTGAAATCAGGGCATAAGCAGGCATGAAAGAAATCCCCGTTGCCCAAAGAGCGTGAGGAAGGAATAAACACATATTTATTGAGCAACTACCATAGGCAGGATGGTTGGTAAGCATTCTCGTTTGACCCTCTTGATGTTGCTAAGTTGAAAGGATTATTTTTCTCCCCTCTGTATACTGAAGATCGCAGTGTCAGAGGTTACACTGCTAGCCCACAGCAGGCTTGGGATCCAAAGCTAGTTCAAATCCAGTTGTCTGGGGCGCCTGGTGTCCATTAAGCTGAGCCTTGGGCTCAAATCATGGTCCCAAAGTCCCGAGGTCGAGCCCCGCGTCAGTCTCCCTGCTCAGCGGGAGTCTGCCTCTCCTTCTCCCTCTGCTGCTCACCCTACTTGTGCTTGTTCTCTCTCTCTCTCTCTCTCTCGAATAAATGAATAAAATCTTTAAAAAAAAAAACCTAGTTGTCTGGCTCCAGAGACACTTGCCCTTTCAAATACAGCTGACCCTCTGGTGTGGCATCAGCAGGTCCTGCTCCAGAGGTTCTCATTCTCTCCTTGTCAAAGTTTTTATTTTTTTATTATTTTTTTTTAATTTGTCAGAGAGAGAGGGAGAGAGAGCAAGCACAGGCAGACAGAATGGCAGGCAGAGACAGAGGGAGAAGCAGGCTCCCCGCCAAGCAAGGAGTCTGATGTGGGACTCGATCCCAGGACGCTGGGATCATGACCTGAGCCAAAGGCAGCTGCTTAACCAACTGAGCCACCCAGGTGTCCCTTGTCAAAGTTTTTAAATCAAATCTATTTGAGAAGTTTTCTTCTCTCTTTAGGGAAAGGTATTTCCTTGAAAGCACTCGGTGGTAAATTTTACCGTTAAGACATCCCCGCCATAACTTTTGTGTGTCGTGTCTTTCGTTACATCAGTTAGATTTTACGTTATTTTGTGTGTTTATTTCTCCGTCCAGAGACCTTACATGTTGACACAATATGGTGTGAACCAAATACTTGACTCACTTGGGTCACTGTGACGCAAAATCTACGGAAACAGCCAAGGGTAGGACCTGACCAGGATCCTGCTTCACCTGCTTTACTCAAATGTCAAGGCCATCTTTGAACAAGCAGATTAGCCACAGATGGTGAGAGAGCAGAGAGCAAGCAGATCGAGAAAGGTTCCCAGTCCTCATACAAAGTGTGCATTGGAGGGCGCAGCCTGCGTTTTGCTGAACAGCCTGTCCCGGTGTCAGCTGCCCTTCAACAGCACCCATAGAAAGTGCTGGTTTATACAGCCCACTGGCTGTGGTGGAGGTGGTGGAGGTCTGGCTCCCTAAGAAATGTGTCAACAGCCTACCTGCTCAGACGGGAGACAACCCGCTTTCATGCAGCTACCCTAGAGCGGGGACTCCAATGTGCAGAGTCCAAAAGGCAGCATCACTGAGCAGCAGGAAGGAATGGAGCTGCCAGCTATGTATGTTTTTAATGTCACCCTTTAAAATTTTGGCTTTCAGGGGCTCCTGGGTGGCTCCATCAGTTAAGCGTCTGACTCTTGATTTCAGCTCAAGTCATGATCGCAGGGTCGAGATCCCAGCCTCGGGCTCAGTGTGAGGTCAGTTCGGAATTCTCTCTCCCTCTCCCTGTGCCCCCACTCCGCCCCTGCATGTGAGCTTGTGCACGTGTGTGCTCTCTCAAGTAAATAAATGAAATCTTTAAAATTTTGAGTTTCATGTAATGGATTTATATGTACTTAATACATTAAAATTTATACTACATGCATAGATTTTATTAGTTAATAGATGTAACCTAGAAAGACATGCTTGAAAATGGTTTGCCAGCATGGGGGCAAAAACAAAAAAGCTTGGAAACTCTCTGCCTAGGGGAAGGTGAGTATCAGTGGAAGTGTGACCAAAGCCCGCTGCTAAATTCCTAAAATCCAAAAGATAAACCCAAATTGCCTGGGTCACGGCGCAGGGAGAGGCAAACTGCCAGGAGCAAGGTACACTGGACTCTCCTTGCTTCTCTTTTTTGCCAATAAAGATGACACCCTGAGAAATTGCCTAATAAGCAGGTGTCATATGAGTCACAAGACAGCCCTTTCATTCCCTGAGTAGCCCCAGGCTATGGCCCCCAAGAGTCCGAGAGACCAGCTCTCCCCAAACCAATGAGTTCTGCTGGTCAAAGGAGCAAATAGTAAAAGATACATAAAAATTTCAATATCATTTGCCCTACAAGAAATGTACATTAAAAATAGTAAGAATACCCTATTCTCTGACCATCAATTACATAGATTTCAACAAATCAGTATTTGGCTGGGGTGGAGAAGCAGGCGTTCCCATATACACCCAGTGGGTGTGTAAATTGGCAAAAACTTTCTGTAGGCAATTTGAAAATTCTGACCAAGAGTTTAAAAAACATACACATCTACCTACCCATCAATTTCCTCTTTGGGTATTTTTTGAAGAAAATAATCAAATTTGGAATTAAAGGTTTAAATACCTTTTAAAGTTTGTTATTCAATCACTTACTCATTCTACACACACTTACTGGAGTCTTTTTTGAGGCAGATTCTATGCTAGGGGCTGCCACACAACAAAAAATAAAATAAGCTTCTGCTCGCCTAAAGATTATTAATAATCATTTCAGTGTTATTTATAACAGGGAAAAATAGAAACAACACAACCAAAATCAGTGTTGTTATTGTTGTTCTGCAGTTACTAATTCCTATGCAGCCATTATAAATTGTATCGAAGAAGACACTGGAGGGACGCCCGGCTCAATCAGTTGGAAGAGCTGCCACTCTTGATCTCGGGGTCGTGAGTTTGAGTCCCACCTTAGGTGTAGAGCTCACTTATATAAATAAGCTTAAAAATAATAATAAGACGATGACAACATTGGAAAATGTTCACATCAGGTAGTTTGAGTAGAAAAAAACAGTTAACAAAACAGACATTGTATGTCTCCCCACAGTCTTGAGTGCCCAGAGAAGGGTCACAGTTGACCCTATCATTTGAGACAGAGGTAATTTAGAATGAACAGACTTCTCTTTAGTGAGAAACAAAACAGAATAGAACAAAAAAGCGTTGGGAAATGTGCCCATCATTTCTTCCTACTTCATGAATATTTTCTGAGGGTAATTCTAGGAGATGCTAACAGAGCAGGTAACAACAACATCGTTGGAAGATTCTGAGAGGCAGTAAGACTCATCTCAGGAACTATGGCCCAACTGAAAATAAGTTACCTCATCCAATATTTAAAAAGAATCTCCAACATAATCAATAAAAAGCTCCTAAGAGAAATGGGCTTGCTCTGTGGGTATGAGGCCTGTTATAAACATTTGAGAAGGCAATTAGCCATATTTATCAAAACTTGTAATGTCACTGTCATAACCTAGCGATTTTATCTGTAGGAATAAATCTATAGGAGTACTTATGCCTGCATAAAAAAATTTAATAAGGAAATGGAAATTAACCAACTAATGCATATTGGGAGTCTGTAAGAAGACCAGAGAAAAAGAGGCAGCAAGAATACTTGAAGAAATAATGGCCAAAATTCCCCAAATTTGATGGAAAAGATTAATCTGCACATCCTAGAAACTCAACAAACTCAATCAACCCAAAGAGAGGCATGCTGAAATATACCATAGACGGACTGTCCAACTGCCTAAAGCCAGAGATGGGGGGAGAATCTTGAAAACAGCAAGAGAGAAATCCAGTGTCATGTATAATTGATCGTTAGTATATAAACAGTTGACTGTTCTCACCGGAAACTGTGGAGGCCAGCCATGAGGGGGATGATCTATTCAAAGTGCTGAAACAAAAGCAGAATTGTTCATCCAGCAAACTATCCATCAAAAATACATCATTGAGGAGTGCTTGGGTGGTTCAGCTGGTTGAGCGTCCAACTTGATTTTGGCTCAGGTCATGATCTCAGAGTGGTGGGACTGACCCCTGTGTCGGGTTCTGTGCTCATGGGGAGTCTGCTGAAGATTCTCCCTCCCTCTCCCTCCACCCTTCTTCCCACACCTCCCCCCACCCCCATTTCACACACACACACACTCTCTCTCTCTCTAAAATGAATGGATAAATCTTTTTGTAAAATGTGTCATTGAAAGTTATTCAAATAAACAAATATAAACAAAACCTGAAAGAATTTGTCAGTAGTTGACCTATCCTGCAAGAAATACTCGAGGGAGTTCTTCAGGCTGTATGAGGGGACACTGGACTACACTTGAATCCACATGGTGAGATAAAGATCTCACCCTTGATTAAGTGCTAGGAATGTGGAGGGAAAGACCAGACATAGCACATTTCTGGTCACCTTGTCATCTTCTTCTTACTCTTCAAGCTTTACACTCTTGAGTTTTTAATGCAATATCTAACAAATACCCAGTCATATTGAATCAGCCTGATGTTTGATTTGGAGGGCTGATGACCCATGCTTGTTTTGATTTGATGAAATTTGGAGCTTGGAGCTAAGAGATATCTCCCTTTTGTATGACTGAGCACAACCTAAGAAATAACACCACCAATAATAGCATCATCATTTTATAATGTAAGTCTAATTGGAGGGTGAATGGAAGTGCTATTGGCCAAGGGCCCCTATCCACTAGTTACATCGTATTAGAAAATCTGACCCAAGAATCTGACAATCAAAAAGGATTATCTTTCATTTCACCATTATTTGTTCGCAGTTATGCCATCTGGCTCATATAACCAGAGGAAACTTGGCACCCACATTCAACTGGAATGACCGTCAATTCACAAAACATCCTATTTTCTCTTTGCCAAGAACAAAGTGACAACTGATCTCAATGTGTAAGTACTTATAATGTAAGACAAATGACTTGAGCAAGAAATATTTTTTAAGAAGTTAGGGTTAAAAGAACATTTTAGTGTCATCAGATATCTCCAACTATGTTCTAATAGTATAACCTGATTTATCTTTCTTTGTGTTTGTCTCTGAATTTTCCCTTTGATTTAACAAATACTTTTGGACCACCTGCTTTATAAAATGGAATGAGCCAAACACTGAAAGAATACCAAGCTATATTAGGCAGGAAATGGGTCTAGCTCTATAAGAAAGAAAACATCAGATTTCAGTGGCTTAACCCAATGGAACTTAATTTCGTGCTCACTCAACAGCTCAGTGATGCTGTCCTAGCTCATCAGGCAACTCTCTTCCACCTGATCCAGGGATTTGGGCTCCTTCTGTCTTGAGTTCTTGCCATCTTCTCGGACATCAGAATCTTGGTTCAAGCTGCCTAAGCATTAGAAGAGTAAAGAAGGCATGCACACTTCTTAAGACGCCCAGCCCATAAGTGACACTTGTCACTGCCACTTGCATCCACCTGTAAGAACAAGTCCCTTGGGCACACCCGGATGTCAGAGATTGGCCAATGTGGTCCCTGGCTGGGTAGTCATTTCCCTGCAACAACTTGATACTCAGGAATGAGGGGGGAATAAGCTAGAGGTCTATTATTCCTGTTGTGTGAGATGTAGCTTCTATCTTCAAAGAACCTCTGTCAGAGTAGAGAAAGAAGTTCACAGGAGAGAAACATCATGGAGGAGGTAGCATTTGAGATGATCCTGGATTGTCAGAACGCCAGACCATGTGTTGGTGAGAGGGGCATTCTAGACGGAGCGACTGCCACTAAGGAAGCAGGGAGGTGGGAAGGGAATGTTGAGTAACTAGTTTTCCTGGAACAAAGATTTGCACAGGGAAGAGATGGAGCTGAGAAGTTTTGTTAGGTCACTGTTATGTAAGGCCCTGAATGTCAGGACAAAGAGCTGGAATTCCATGCTTCCTTTATGATGATTATCCTGCATTTTTAACACAAAGTTTCCAGAACAGTGATAGCATTAATCATTAACAAGTATCAGCCACAGAACAGACAGTACATTCACTATGAAGGGATTTCATTTTTCAGATGGTAATGCTAGTAACAGCATCATATGACGTTCACAGGCTGTAATCGATTGCAAACGTTTGCATCTGTTCTCACGTGTCTTGATACTTACAAAATACAATCCAAACACTTTAATTTCTCTCTTGCTCCTTCTCCCAGGATTATCTCACATAGTTCTCTAGAGACGTGGAGGGTAGCTTTACACACTGACATCACAAACCAGCAGGGCCTCCCCTTGGGCGGGGCAGAAGACCTTTTTAGGGCTGTGAACTCTGAATACTGTTAAGCCACAAAATGAGCAAACCCTTTAGAATCTCTAAAAGTAAGAAAGAGTTTTATTCAAGCCCAAGTTAAGACAGCTGCTCAGGAAGCACACTCTTCACAGGAAAAAAAAGAGCTCCGGAGAATGAACAATTTTTACAGGGTTACACACTTTTTACATCTTTTAGAAGCTCAAAAGATTATAGATTAACATAGAGGCAGCAATCATGAGTTATTTTTTTGTTTTGTTTTGGTGTTGTTTTTTTTTTTTTTAAGAATTCCAGTAAGAGACAAGTCACATAGCTTTTTTTTACTCCTTTTTTTTTTTTAAAAAGATTTATTTATTTGAGAGAGAGAGAGAGAGCAGAAGCAGGGAAAGGCTCAGAGGAAGAGGGAGAAGCAGGCTCCCTGCTGAGCAGGGAGCCCCACATGACACGGGACTCCATCCCAGGACTCTGAGATCATGACCTGAGCCAAAGGCAGACACCCAACCAACTGAGCCCCAGGAATCACAAGTTTCAACGTCAAGGAATGCAGGGAGTAAGAACATTGACTGATAGCTTTAGGACAAGATGGTTTTTCTTTAGGCCACTCATTTATAAAGTAGGTTCACAATGTATGCTTGGTGGGCCATAAATCAGGCTTTCACTTTGAACAAAGTTTATGTACAGTCATACTGACTTACAAAGAAATCTAAAATGGCTTTCCTCATACATCAGGCCTTTAGAGAGCTTTCCTCTCTTCAATACCAATACCAATCACTGCAAACCCGTAAACATAATTCCCTTCACCTTCATCAGACAGCATCCTCACAGCATCAGGGTCAATGTTGGCATGTAAATCGTACTGGAAATTTAACAGGAATAAATATTTGTTTAAAAAACATTCACATACAAAAGGACAGGAGGGGCACATAGAGCAACATTGGGGAGCCTTAGCAAAGTAGTAACTGGACTAGGAATTGAACTTTTTCTGAAGGCATTTAGGTTTCTAACAGTAGCATTTTGTGGATTGTGACTTTGGTGTATATCTCTCCAAGCTGGCAGTGGCTTTAAAGTAGACCCAAGTAGAGCACCTGGGTAGCTCAGTGGGTTAAGGCCTCTGCCTTCAGCTCGGGTCATGATCTCAGGGTCCTGGGATCGAGCCCCGCATCGGGCTCTCTGCTCAGCAGGGAGCCTTCTTCCCGCCCCCTCTCTCTGCCTGCCTCTCTGCCTACTTGTGATTTGTCTGTCAAATAAATAAATAAATAATCTTTAAAAAATAATAATAATAATAAACACTTGGCTAGCATCCTGGCTGAGTCTCATTTCCCTCAGTAGAGAAGTGAGGGTAACAATTCTTCTCAAAGGATTGAAAAGGGGTTGAAATATGATAACAAATCCAAAGGCCTTCACATGCTGTCTGGCTTGGATTAGAGGCTCCGTAAATGATACTTCCCTCACTAATTCAAGACCTGTTAGGATATTGGCCAGATTGCCCTGGACCTCAGTTTGCAGTCCCTGGATCTAAACTCCCATTTTGAACCCTGCAGCAGGAAGCAGAGGATAACCTTTGTGAGGACTAAGCCATTTCAGCTTGGGGAAGTTGAGACGAGTTCAGGTGGCACCTGAGTGTGGCACGCCTCGTCCCCAGGTCTTCAGGGTTGTCGTCCTTTGGGAAGAGAAGTAGGAGGCACAGGGAGTTGAAGTGGGGCACAGATGAGAAGCCTGGTTGTGTATTTTCCTTTGTGCTGACTTGTTCACCTGCCTGCCAAACTTTCTTCTTCTCCCCTCCCTTCCTTCAGAAAATATTTAATGGTACAGATGATGTGGCAGTCTCCATGCATGGCATGGAGTTTGAATATTAAATAAGATACTCGTTCTGATCCTTAACTAGCTTCTACTCTAGTAGGAGAGACCGATGATAATAAAAATCACAGACCCATGTGATCAGCCCTGCACACAGGGTGGGTTGATGGTCCAGAAGCCAGAGAACTCCGAGCTTGGGGGAATAGTGGACTTCAGGACCTGGTGATAGAAGGCCTCCCAAGGACAGTTCCTTCAAGGTCATTTTTCCTTCCGGCGGAAGTAGATGTTGCTCCAGTGGTTTGCACCCTGTCAGGAACAATATGTGAAAAGATCAATAAAATGGCTCTTCCATTAGAGAACCTCATAGAAATGAGCTGCCACAAAGAAGCATGTGGTGTACAGAGAGGAGGAAAGTGAGGTTTTACAGCCAGACCATGAAGGATGTAGACCACGCTTAGGAACTAGGAATAACAGCTCAACAACCGGAAAACCAAATACCCAGTTAAAGAATGAACAAAGGAGTCAAATAGACATTTCTCCAAAGAAGACACACAAATGGGCAACAAACATGAAAAGATCCTCAATTTCAATAATAACAAGGGGAAAAAAATAATAACAAGGGGGTGACCATTATAATGATGATGATGATGATAGTAATAGAAGTGTTGGTGAAAATGTGGAAAAATTAAAACCTCTGTGCACAGCCACTAAGGAAAACAGTCTGGTAATTCCTCAAAAAATTAAAATGGAATTACCATATGATCCAGCAACCCCACATCTTGGTATTTATCCACAGGAATTGAAAGCAGAATCTTGAAGAGGTATTTGTACATCTATGCTCACAGCATACTCACAACAGCCCAGAGGGGAGAACAACGCAAACGTCCATCCATGGATGATGAACAGCTAGACAACGTGCGGTAAACTCATACAACGGAGTATTATTCGGCCTTAAAAGGAAGGAGATTTGGACAGGCGCTACCGCATGGATGAATGTTGAGGACATTCTGCTAAGTGAAATATGCCAGTAGCCAGGGGACAGATACTGCATGATTCCACTTCTGTGAGGTATCTAAAGTTGTCAGACTCCTAGAAATAGAAAGTAGAGCGGTGGTTGCCAGGGCTAGGGGGAGGTAGAAGAGAGGAGCTGTTTTGTGGGTATGGTTTCAATTTCGCAAGGTGAAAAAGTTCTCGAGATCCACTGCACGACAATGCGCATATAGTTAACACTACGCTATTATACACCTGAATATGACGAGGATGGCAAACCTCGTGTTAGGTGTTCTTTACCACAATGAAAAAGAAGGAGTTGGGACCAGTCCTTTGAAGGCAGCGGACCGTTCCCTGAAGCATTTTAAAGCTGGGAGAGACACGGTCACACCCTTTTCTCGGAGTAGCCTCCGGGAAAAGCGTTTCATGGATTAGTGATGGAACAGACTGGAGCCCTGGGGAGACCAGCTGGAGGGCCTTCGAGGGTCCAGACATGGCCTGATGAGGGTGTGACATGCTCAGAGAGAAAGAGGAAGGAGACGTGACAGCAGGAAGGAATGCAGGCGTGGCTGGGAACCACCGTCATTATGCCTGAGGTGTGTGACCGTGGACAGTCTGCCTGCGCAATTCTGGGCATTGTCCAGCTTGGCATGTTGTTACTCTTGCCCAGAGAGACATCTGATTCAAGAGGACTCCCTGTCAGGAATTCCATGAACTGCTTGCTCTGTAGGATTCTGAAACTGGGTCCTTTCCCCATCCTGTTCCTCTAGCTTCTTTCTTTTTTTTCCTTTTTTTTTTTTTCAACAGTAACACCAATTCCCTTGAATATCAAAGTTGCAATTCTCCTAAAGCCAAGTAAGGAGAGTCCTGA